TTGAGCACGGCATACACGGGAAGGGTGTCTCTGTGAAGATCTCTGGAGGGGGAACAAACTTCACCACACCAAAGAAAGCACTTCTGATGCGTGCCGAAACAAACATGCTCCTGATGAGCCCAGCAACTGATGGCAAGCCGCATGCCAAGGGGGTGCATCAACTTGACATTGAGACAGGGAAGGTGGTCTCACAATGGAAATTTGGGAAAGATGGAGCTGACATTAACATGAAGGATATCACTAACGATAGCAAGGGCGCACAGATGGATGCGTCTGAATCCACATTCCTGGGACTAGATGACAACCGATTGTGCCGGTGGGATATGAGGGATAGGCATGGAATTGTGCAGAACTTGGCTAGTTCGATGGAGTCCCCAGTGTTGGAATGGACCCAGGGCCATCAGTTCTCCAGGGGAACAAACTTCCAGTGCTTTGCATCAACTGGCGATGGGTCTATTGTGGTAGGCTCATTGGACGGGAAAATCCGTTTGTACTCAAAGAGCTCTATGAGGATGGCGAAGACGGCCTTCCCAGGGCTGGGTTCACCAATTACTCATGTGGATGTGACGTACGATGGGAAGTGGATACTGGGAACCACTGATACCTATCTGATACTCATATGCACCATTTTCATTGACAAGGATGGGAAGGAGAAGACAGGGTTTGGTGGAAGAATGGGGAACCGAATTGCTGCACCAAGACTGCTCAAGCTCAGCCCACTGCACTCTCATCTTGCAGGGGACAATAGCAAGTTCCGTGAGGGCAGGTTTTCATGGGTCAGTACATCTTACCACTTCTCCTATTGTGAATTCCTGCTCAAATTTACTTATTGTTGCATTGCATGAAGACTTGAAAGAGGTCTAGTATCTAAATGCTATGTTGCATTTAAGTTGGGACTGATCAATGATCAGATGACCAGAAGTGACATTTTTTGTTATCTTGAATATTAGTAACCACTAATTTATGAGGTCTACTCCATATCTTATGGGCATAGTAATTCTGTATTAGGTTTTTAGTCACACAGGGCGCTAGATTCAATTTTGTGGCTTCTGCTCATTATGTTTTGGATTTCTACCTTTATGTTTACTTAGTTTTTACTTCTATAGGTCATGTATGCTATATGATTGTATATTTGTGCAGGTCATTTATTTGTTGATATTGCCATATTGGCTATGAAATAATTGATGTATCGATTACATGGCAAGGCATATGCTAGTGTGTACTCTTGAGTCATATCACCTCCATTTTCATCACTAGCATATAGCACCAGCAAGCCGGTTTGACTTTTTGTAGAAATTGAAATTTTGTCAGTCAAATTTTGTTTACATACATGGCAGAATATTTGTAGCTACTGCAAATACCATTGTACCTTTGCTGTCTGATATGTTAATATTTTGTGTTGAGTATAGACTGTCTAGGTTTCAATGTTTGAGCTTCTTTTGCATGTTTACACATGGTACATTGTCTAGGTTTCAATGTTTGTGGTCTTTATCCATGGTTAGGAAATCTGGCTGCATGTTTTGTTGCTTCATTGGCTGCAGTTCTGTGGTTCTATGTTTGAGCTTCATTATCTTCGTTGATGGATAATGGTTGAATCTGCTGCATTTCAATCACCTAATATTCTTGCACTATAAACAAAATGGCAACGAAGCCAGCTATCACAATAGCCTGCACGATCCCCTTCTCTATGGAGATAATTTGCTGCCCACAATGAACAATGTGTGCATTTTTACTATCTGGTATCAAGTACTCAATCTAGTAACCACGCAGGTCACGGATAACGGCAAGCAGGAGAGGCATCTCGTGACGACCGTGGGGAGGTACAGCGTGGTGTGGAACTTCCTCCAGGTGAAGAACAGCCACCACGAGTGCTACCAGAACCAGGAGGGGCTGAAGAGCTGCTACTGCTACAAGGTGATCCCCAAGGACGAGTCCATCGTGGCCAGTCGCTTCATGCATGAGAAGTACGACTTGAGCGACTGCCCTGAGGCGCCTCTGGTCGTCGCGACGCCCATGAAGGTCACCTCCTTCAGCGTGGCTAGCCAGCGCTAGCTCCGTGCTTCCGCCTCTCAGTGTTCTTTTTTTCAGTTGGGTTGTTGGTCTCCGTGCTGTCATGTAACTTCTTGACATGCGGATCTGGACTTCCAAGTGTGATGATGACTATCTATCTAGTCATGGCTTGTTACAGGATTTATGAGTTATGTGGATTGATAGCCAAAACTATCTTACGGATTGATGATTTGTACTGGCTAGATTGATTCTGAACTTCTCTGAAAGAAGGAATGAATTTTAATTCTGCAAACATGATGTATTCATCTGTCCGTGTGTCATGGTTCTATTTGATGCCTTAGGCACGTTGGCAATGCAAGTGCCCATTTCTGTTGAAGTTAAACTGTTTCATGTGCGACCTCCACAAAATCATTATGGGCGTAGTATTCTAAATCTACACTGTATACTACTCCCTCCGTTCCTAAATATTTATCTTTCTAGAGATTTCAACAAATGACTACATACGGAGCAAAGTGAGTGAATCTACACTCTAAAATATGTCTATATACATCCGTATGTGGTAGTCTATTTGAAATCTTTAAAAAGACAAATATTTAGGAACGGAGGGAGTAATATCGGTGGTAATGACATGTGGTTCAAGTGATGACTTGTACTGGGTAGATTGATTTTCCTTTTTTTTTAGAAGACTGATTGTGAATTTTCTTGAGCGAAGACTTTTAACTCTGCAAACTTGTCTGTGTGTCTTGGTTTGATGTCTCAGGCCCTTTCCTCGGCAATGCGAGCAACGTTTTCGTCGAAGTTGAATCATTTCTTGTGCAATCCCCACAAAATCACAGATTGCTTCTGCTTCACAGTATCTAAGCATGCCAGTGTGAACTCATCGTATTTGTTCTTCAACATACAAACAAAGCGACGAATAAATCTAATATCGCTGGTGATGATCCATTTATCAGCGGTCCTCTACTCTAATTTAAAATGTTTCAAGTAATAATTCAACTAACGCGGGCACCTTGCTAGTGCATGTCATTACCTTTTGGACAATTACACAAAGAACTTGATGAAAGTAAAGGCATCATAGCACAATGCTCCAGAGAGGAAATGATAGGGTCTAGCCAGTATCATTGGCTACTTGATATTACGGTCTAGCCAGTATCAGGTTCAAAACTGCTCCAGGTACAACTGTTTCAAATGAAAACACAAGGGAAAATGTCCTCTACAATGAAGTCCTAAATGAATTGGTTTGCCGCCCCCATGAATGGACAACATCCTCTAGTCCTGCCGCACCTCACCTGTGGAAAGAGTAACAGAAAACCTTAGAACCGATCACAACGTCGCTATAACAAAAGACATTCACCAGGAGCAGAAGAACAAAAAAACATATGCTAGCAGGTGTGACTAGCGCTTGCAGCAGACACATCAGGCCAATGATGTAACTTGTGCAATGCACAACAGTGATGCCAAGATTGTAATGATATGCAGATGGATCGGCATTTCATTAAGCAATATTGCATACAGATGTGAACTCCACATGTCAGTAGATTAAAGCACACCATACCAATTGATCAAATACAAAATCTGGGTGATATGTTGAACGTTTGAGGAGAAGAGTCGTTACAATTTCATAATTGATGAAAGCAGCCCTCTTAGAATAGCAAGCAAAATGCAATGAAGCCTAATCAACTAGAATGGTCGACAACCAGCTAGTATCATGAAAATGTTGGGCTCATGACTAACTTGTCTGGGCTGAGTAGTTTGTCTGGGTGCTGGCTAATGGTTCTAATCCAGGATTCAAGGTTTAGAATATAATTGGCACAAATTGGGCTAAAATAACTTACAGGCTATCAAAACAAAAACATTTGGCATATTCCAGCCTTATACCATCAGAAGTTGCAAAGTTTAGTTTGTTCGGATATATGTAGTTCAACAATCTGTGATCACATGTTTTCCGAATCCAGAACCAGACACAATCATAAATAAAAACACAAACGTAAGGAGTCAAGATATTGATATATCAGATGTATGTCGTCTGACTGATCACATGAATTCTTGTAAATTAGCATACAGTTATTTAAAAGGACCTGGTGCAAAAAAGTATGCTTTCACATGCAGTGCACATAAGCATAACTTATCATCATCATGGGCCTACGTTGAAAATTTATACAAGGTAGAATGGGTCACTGAATGAAACAAAGTCATGATGATTAAAACTGCATAAACAATGAAAACCACAATAAGCCTCTAAAGCAGATTAAGTTGAAAGGATATCAGCTTGGAAGTATGTGCACTTTCAATCTTCCACGAACAAAAGAAGGTCCAAAGAGAGGCATTTAATTTCATAAAGAACCAAGTATATGGGATAAAGAAAATCACTACTGCTTGCTATGGATAGTAAAATATAAGTACATATTGTTCAGGTTTATACTGGCTGTTACAATGAAATATTGGAAACAAAAGGAGCCGATGCATATACTACTTATAGCGGCTCCCTTACTACAATTCAGAAGAACTCACGCCTCAAGGTTTCAATGCTGGATAAGGTAAACGGTGTAACTACTAAGAGGCTAAGAGCATGAGAATACCCAGTCAGCGCCAAAAATTCGGCTCCAAACCAAGTAACTAGTACACAAAAATGGAAATCACACGGGAAGCGCACTGGACTCAATTCAGTGAGCATCATCTCAAGAACTAAGGTTGATTACCCTGGTGAAAACGAAACAATTTCTTATCCAAACAAAGCAGGAAGCACCCATGTATCAATCACACTACCAGATAGAAACGGTCATAACAAACATAACTTGAGTCAGTTCTAACAAGATCTCACAGATCTACGACGCTATAACTCAGGGGAGGGTCCTAGGACGGTGAATTGCCCGCGCTACTTCCACAAACACACGCATCAGAACAACGGGCGCGCAGAATTTCCGACGAAGAAACCAGATCCCAGATCGGAGGGGGGCGCGGGGAACGAAGAAGCACCTGCGGAGACGAGATCAGCCGGACCCGACGATGATGTTGTTGATGGGGATGAAGATGAGCTTGACGAAGAACCCGACGAAGCCCATGACGACGAACCCGATGGCCGTCCGAATGGCCACCTTGGTGAACTCTGCACACGCCAGCAAACCATACGGCGTCAGATCTGGGCCAGAGCTAAGACCGCCGCGTCGGCGGATCCGATGCGCCGGGTCCTTCCTTACCCTTTCGGTCGGGCTTGTGGCAGCGCTTGACGAGGCGAACGCTGTCCTTGGCGAACTCCCGGAGCGGGTCGACCACGGAGTCCACGGCGTCCATGGCTGGCTGCGGCGCGGGGAGGAGGGAGATCTCGCCGGAGAGGTGGGAGGCAGAATGTGGAGGTGCGTTTGCTCGTGTCTGACGATGTGGATGGACGATGCGTGTTTTAATGAGACAAAAGTCTGCTGCTTTCTTGGATGGGCCTCCTGGGCTTGCAGACTGATGAAAATGGACCAACTTGGGCTTCAGTGAGCCCAATTGCTTGCAGACTGAAGAAAATAGACCAACTTTCGTATTGCTGTTTGGGCTTCAATGCGCCCAATTTTATTGTGTATATATATCTGGGTTCCTGTCCCTAAAAAAAACTGGGTTCCCTTGGAAACGACAATATTCCGGGGAGCCCAAGCAGTTATCAAGTACCGCCGCGTTAACGAATGTAGCAGTTGGAAGCTGTATGAGAAGAAGAGAGCCGACGACAACTAGGGTTTTGATC